CTTTTCTCAGATCACCGGTGCTTTTGTGTGTGTGTGTGTGTGAGTTTGTTTTGTGTGTATGTGTACTCACATATTTGTGCTTGCGGGGGTTGAGCTTTGGCTCTTTGGTCCCACCTCTCAACCGTCAATCAACTGGTGTACAGATTCCTGAGCTTATTGGCCTCTATCATATCTACATTTGAGACTGTGTATGGAGTCAGCCTCCACCACATCACTGCCTAATGCATTCCATTTGTTAACTACTCTGACCCTGAAAAGGTTCCTTCTAACGTCCCTGTGGCTCATTTGGGCACTCAGTTTTCACCTGTGTCCCCTTGTTCGCGTACCACTAGTGTTGAATAGTTTGTCCTTGTCTATCCTGTCAATTCCCCTGAGGATTTTGTAGCTATGTCTCCCCTCACTCTTCTGTCTTCCAGTGTCGTAAGGTGCATTTCCCGCAGCCTTTCTCATGCCTCTTAGTTCTGGGACTAGTCGTGTGGCATACCTCTGATCTTTTTCCAGCTTCGTTGTGTGCTTGACAAGATACGGGCTCCATGCTGGGGCCGCATACTCCAGGGTTAATCTGACATATGTGGCATACAAGATTCTAAATAATTCCTTACACAGGTTCCTGAAGGCTGTTCTGATGTTAGCCAGCCTCGCATATGCTGCAGACATAATTATTTTTATGTGGGCTTCGGGAGACAGGTTCGGTGTGATATCAACTCCTAGATCTTTCTCTCTGTCCGTTTCATTAAGTACTTCATCTCCTATACTGTATCCTGTGTCTGGCCTCCTGATTCCACCGCCTAGTTTCATTACTTTGCATTTACTCGGGTTGAACTTTAATAGCCATTTGTTTGACCATTCATTCAGTCTGTCTAGGTCATCTTGTATCCTCCTACTATCATCCTCTGTTTTAATCCCCCTAATCATTTTTGCATCATCAGCAAACATTGAGAGAAACGAGTCTATACTTTCTGGGAGATCATTTACATGTATCAGAAACAGTATAGGTCCTAGGAATGGCCCCTGCGGGACTCCACTTGTGACGTCTCGTCAATCTGAGACCTCACCCCTCACAGTGACTCGTTGTTTTCTGTCTTAGGTATCCCTTATCCAATGGAGTACCCTCCCATTCACTCCAGCCTGCATTTCCAGCTTTTTCACTAGCCTTGTGTGTGGTACTGTATCAAAGGCTTTCTGGTAATCCAGAAATATGCAGTCTGCCCACCACTCTCTTTCTTGCCTGATTTTTATTGCCTGGTCGTAGTATTCTGTTAACCCTGTGAGGCAGGACTTGCCATCCCTGAACCCATGTTGATTCTGTGTTACAAAGTTTTTTCGCTTCAGATGCTCCACTAGCTTTCTTCGCACAATCTTCTTCATCAACTTGCATGATATGCAGGTTAGGGACACTGGCCTGTAGTTCAGTGCCTTCTGTCTATCCCCTTTCTTGTATATCGGGACTACATTAGCTGCTTTCCAAATTTCTGGCAGTTTCCCTGTTACCTGTTATTTGTTATACACTATGGAGAGTGGCAGGCACAGTTCTTCTGCTCCTTCCTTTAGTATCCCAGGGGAGATTCCATCTGAGCCTATAGCCAGATGAAATTACCATCTGGGTAATTCCATCCTGAGATGGAATTACCATTATCTCTTGGTCGTAGTTTTTTTTATGACACTGAAAATTGTCATAAAGTTTTATAAACTTTATAAAGAATTAAATGTTCTTGTTCCAGATTTTTCACACTCAGGTGCCATAGACTCGTCCCCCAAGTGAGTCGTATATTTTCCCTTGAGGTTCGCTTCCATTTGTTAACTAATATCCAAGAATTACTATTATAATGCTATATTACTGTACACCGTAAAATTGACTTACTTATTGAGAGGTGTTACCATCAATCCAAGCATCCCACAGCACAAACAGGTGTTAAGTACTGTTGACGGCTTGCTCCTGTAAGCCTGCTGGTGTCCACGTCGCTGCCAGGCGAAAATAGCTCCTGCTTGTTGCTATATATCACCAGTAATTAGCTTCTTGTTTCCCTTAGCACCGATATAGCTCTAATGCTACACGTTTAGAATCACTTCTTCACTATCCTATTCACTAGATGTTATGATCTTCACTATTACATCTTGTTGTGTACACACTGACCAAGCAGTGGCGGCCACGTGCTTGTCTTGACACTGATGTCGTACCCCAGATCTTGACTATTTTGCACTATCGGACACAATTAATGAAATTGCTAGTTTCTAATCGGTATGTTACACTTCATATTATTACTGAGCACCGAAAGTCCCGGGTATCCCTCTGATGTCCCGAAATATGAAGCCTTATTGACGAGCGCGGCGCAACGTGTCCACCCTCCCAAGACTCTCGAGACAGACGGACTGTGTGTGTGTGTGTGGGGGGGGGGGGGGAGTGTGTGTGTGTGTGTGGGAGGGGGGTGAGTGTGTGTGTGTTTGTGGGTTGGTGTGTGTGTATGTTAACTATTTGTGTCTACTCTGCAAACATAAATAGTATACTATTTGTGTCTGCAGAATCGAGCCTTTTAGGTCCTGGACCCCGGCTTTCTAACCAATCTAATATCCTCTATTATATCTACTGCATATTCCATTCACTTGAGCTGTATGGAACTTGAACGTGTACCCTCACGCAAGTGAGTCTGTAGCTCTATCGACTATTATTTTTACTACATAAATTTCTCTCTAACATACAAACACACACACACACACACACACACACACACACACACACACACACACACACACACACACACACACACACACACACACACACACACACACACACACACACACACACACACACACACACATCCATCCAGTACAGGGGCCCGCCGGCCGAGCGGACAGCACGCTGGACATGTGATCCTGTGGTCCCGGGAACGATCCCGGGCGCCGGCGAGAAACATTGGGCAGAGTTTCTTTCACCCTATGCCCCTGTTACCTAGCAGTAAATTAGTACCTGGGAGTTAGTCAGCTGTCACGGGCCGTTTCCTGGGGTGTGTGTGTGTGTGTGTGTGATGTGAAAAAAATAGTAGTAGTAGTAGTTAGAAACAGTTGATTGACAGTTGAGAAGCGGGCCGAAAGAGCAGAGCTCAACCCCCGCAAGAACAACTAGGTAAATACAACTAGGCGAATACACACACATCCTCAGGAAGCAGCTGTTTAACTCCCTGGTACCTATTTACTGTTAGGCGAGCAGTGGCATCAGGGTGAAATAAACTCTCATCTTTTTCCACCTCTAGCGGGAATCGAGCAAGGGGCCATTAAGACTATGACCCCCATGGTTCTCTAAACCAGGAGGCCTCCAAGGTGAGTGTGTGTGTTTGTACTCACCTACATGTGCATGCAGGATCGAGGTATAGCTCTTGAAATCTGCTTTTCTAGCCGTTGGTTGTCTAATGCAATGACTGCTAGCCGATTTTCCTATCCTACCTGCTTTTAAATTTATGAATGGAGTTAGCCTCTATAATCTGCTCCTTTAGGTCATTCCATTTACTTCCTACAATTATGCTAAAAGATTACTT